TTTGTTGATATGTTGGATTTTTATAAATCACTTGCTCAATCACTTGGGGCAGCAAGAATATATTTAATGTTGTTTTTCTTTTTTACTGAAGTAGCTGAAGTAAGTATCTCAGAGACTATCATGGCTCTGTGTCTTTTTTTAATGCTTTTTTTAAAAAAAATTTTTTTAGATGTTGTTGGACTTTTATTTTATTCATTTTATTTATATGCGGCACTGAGAATCAAACCCAGTGCCTCACACATGCTAGGCAAGCTCTCTACCACTGAGCCACAACCCCAGCCCTTGGCTCTGTGTCTTTAATGCTACATATGCCATTTCTAGTTTACTAAATCTTTTGTGTATTCCACCCCTTGAATATTTCCTGTTTTATTAGTCTAAAATGAAGAAACAGCTACCTAATTCAGGACTGGGAAAGGGACAGATGATACCCTTGGTTGTTTTGGTTTGGGGTTTTGTTTTGTTTTGTTTTGTTTGCCCAAGCATTCATCCTTGCTGCTTGCCTTTTCATACTATAACTAGAAATCAAAGAATGATATAAAACATTTGATACAGTTCTTGGCCAACAATTGTCATTCATTAAGGGCAAGTATTTTCTTCAAAGTGTATGTTTAAATTCCAATCCTCTAAACTGCAGAGCCCCTCACAGGTCTGGGCTGAGGTTGGTGGTGGTAATGAAAATCAATACTTAAAACAAAACAAGGTCTGCAGGAGAGAAGATATTCTTAAGCTATTTCACAACATGCAAATTCAAACTTCAACTTCAACTCACTGATTTGTTGAGAAATAAAACTTTACTGGGTGGCTACCATGTGTTAGACAGTATAAGAGCTATGTCAGCTGCTGTGAATACACAAGAAATGCCCTCAGGAAACTTAATTGGTACAGAGAGATCACAAGGGAACAACTTACAAAGATCAATTGTGCCTCCAAGCATAAAAAACCATTTCTGCACCAAAAGTTGGATCTGCTTAGGAAAGTTTCTAGTGAACTTTTTGCAGGGTCTTAAATACCATACAAAGTCAGAAATAAATTATTTTAAGTTCTAGACAACGGAAGGATTATAAATATAATGTTTTGGTATATTTACATATTAATAATAATTATGCAATTAAAGATAGATATAAAAAGTAGAAATATTAGATTATTTCGCTAACTCAAATATACATATTTGAGAACAGGGTCTAAACTTGGATGATGGTCTTAGAGAAGGAAAGGAAATGCTTTATGTAAAGGTATGGAGACAATGATAGATATTCTCCTAGTCATGGGAGTTGTAAAATAAATTAGATTCTGCTAATGCAAAATTCTTGGGGAAAATAAAACAGTAAAAACAAAATACAAAAAAAAAAAAACTTCAGGATTTATAATCTTTTAGTCTACTTCAGGTGGCATAACATTTTAAATAAAATTTTGTTCTCTGATACTTAAATCACCACTGAACTATACTAAGGTCAAATTTACTAATTGACAATATTGTCTCAATATTTAGTATTCCAATTAGTTCCATTGCTTAGTTAGATGTTAGATTTTCATTTATGAGATGATACATTCACATTATACACTCTTAAATCACCAATTTTTAATAAAGGATATAACATTATATAATCGGGAAAAATAAAAGTACACAACTAAATACATAAGCAGAAAACCCAGGATGAAGAACAGGGATGATGAGCCAAAATCAAACTAAACCTATGTGATGGCATTATGATTTGTGAACACCTGAAATATAAAAACATCAAACAATACACATACAAATCTAGGATTAGAGCAGCCAATTAAACTTGCCTATATGGCAAAAGTTTTGGTGAGAACAAATCAACTTCATCATTCATGTAAGTCCCACTTCTTCAGATAAGTAATAACCTTTGAAAATAATTGTAAACACAGAAAATCCTGAAGTAGAATATCAAGTGCAACATTTCCTTATGAAATTTAAATACTTTTCACTGTAAAATAAATAAATTTCAGAAAACAGTTTGATCATAGTGATCAAAACATGAAGTGGGAGAAATTAGAAAATGTATAAAATCTATTTTAAGGTAAGAGAATTTTTTCTCTAATTAAAGATTTTAATATGTTTAAATGACAAAAGTCATTTAGATGAGTGAGTGAAGTGTTAGCATTAGCTTAAATATCTCAGGAAAAGCAAATTGAAGGTATGTACAGAAACTGGTAAGTATCTTCCAATCACTACCACCCGCACCCCTTCTCCCTTAAGTAACAAACCTCTATATTTTACTTGGGTATCCATGCCCATCCAAGTGGGGGAAAATTATCGCCTACATCCTCTTGCTATTAGATGGTCACTAAGTTGTAGAGGGTGCAGAAAGAAGTGTCGAGGTGCAACCTTCAGAGCATGCTCTTGAAGGCAAAGGACTTGTCCTTCCTTCCCACTTACCTCCTCATTATCCAAAATGCAAATAAAAACAAAATTTCAAAAAAACAAAAAATAATAATAATAATAAAAAAACATTGTAGACATAGGAGCATCAGTGTTGACAATAAACATTGAATAGGACAGCAGAAAACTAAAATAAGGACCTCAGGGCTTGCATGACTGTAAGTTGCCCTCTTAGCCCTTGAACTCAGAATGTTTAATACTGGAGTGAACTTTAGAGATCATCTGCACTGCCGTATCTTGCAGTCAAGTATTATAAAAATTTAATGCCTATGGGCAGACACAGTTTTAGGACTATTCTAGTACATGAGTTAGTCTCCAATTCCTAATCTAGTTCTTATTAAATAATAGTTTACAAATTATTTTGGCATTCTTACTATTTGTATATAAAACATTGAAAAATTCTACAAATGCTTTCCAAAATTTTTAAGTTTGAAATTTAAAAGGTGACATTTCCTATTCAAGTTTTGATTAACTTTTCTACATTTCATCTTGGGCCTAAGAAAAGAGAATGTATAATTTTTATACACAAAATTCTAACTCACAGTAGTATTATCCATATTTTTTAGATGAGAAAAGACAAAAACACATCATATGTTCAATAAGTTCACTTCCATGACTTCATTTCTCAGACTGTTATTTGAATATCTAAATGAATATTTCTGTAGGTAAACTATGCAAGTAAACACTGTGTACAATTCAACTGTTCTATATACATAACTGTCCAATTTTCTACCTCCATTGGGCATGTATGTTTTGAAGTATTGTGATTGAAATGGGGTAGTACTTACTAAAAAGTCATGTCTAGATTTGTGCATGATTATTAGAATCTTAGAAAAATGGCACATTTCTTTCTGTAAAAGAAAAATAACTTCCTAGTTTATAAGCAAATCTGAGAAGTAAATAAACTACTCTGTTGATATAAAACTATAACTTATTTTAGTACAGAAAAAAATGCATTTGCTGTATCAGTATCATTATCATGAGGCAACACTTACTTGGAGGTTTGCATATTAAAAAATCTATCATAATTCCACAAACTAAATGTTGAACAGAAGTTGCAATTTATAATAGACTGCCAGAAAGACTGACAATTCTACATGAATTTTCAATGACCATATAATTTTCAAATAGTAAATACTAATTTTGATGATGAAATAAACACTCTAAAAATGTATTTATTTTGACATCAATCAATATACTATTAAAACATTTTGTGTTAGCTGACAGCTTATCTATAATAAGCCTCTACATCATGAAAATGACACATGCACTCTTCATAAGAGAAAAACATATCACTAACAAATTACCTATATCTAGAGGAAAGAAAATAACTTTATAAACAACAGTTCCACATCTACAGATAAAACAATTTCATCCACATTGTTATTGTAAGAATTAAGAGAATTTGTGTAAGATGGTTTGCAGTCTGCAGGCAAATTTAGTGCACAATTAATTACATTATTCAGAAGTATTAGCAGCAGTGGTGCAATCTGAGAAGCTGTGACATTTCAGCAAAATATATTTTCTGTGTTTTCCAAAATTTTTTGACGACCAGCTCTACTTGTTTTTTTCTCTACATTCCCCTTAAGTTGTTGGGAGAAAAAATGCCATAAAATAGTATAGAACATTTTTTAAATTCAGATTTTAAAAATGTCTGAATGACACTAATAATTTGATTATATTCATTTTTATTTTGTTCACTGATATAGCCTAAGTTCATAGGTGAGTACTTAAAATACAGGAAGGCCATGACAAATGCTTTTGGATAAACAACTGTATCTACATATATTCTTTTGCAAATGATCAAACATGTAAATTTAAAAACTTAAATGTATACTTTATTTTGTAATTTTGAAATATTTCCACCATATCTAATTAAAATGTCTCCTCAATGATTATCCAGAAGTGACAATATTAGAAGTAATTCATTAGTGCTGAAATAATTCATTTTCACAAATAATTTGAAAATGTCAATTAGAGTCATTAATTTAAAAAGTCCTAAGGATGAGGCTTTCAGTATAGTTTAGTGATAGAGCACTTACCCAGCAGAGGAGAAAAAGGAAGGAAGGAAGGAAGGAAGGAAGGAAGGCCGGCCGGCCTAACATGTAACCACTATGTTTCAAAGACTGGACAGCAGGGCCAGTTACAGAGCTTCTGGGGTATCTTTCACATTATAGTTGAAATAAATCATTCTCAATAATGTAGGCAGTTCACACAAGAAAAGAGGTAAGGTGGCCCTGGTGACAGGAGCCAGGAAGCAGAGATGAATGGGATCTGATCTTTGTATTCAGCATTACCAATAGGATGCAGAGTATTCAAGGCAATGCACTGCTTTGAGATATAGACAGAGTACAGTGGGAGTTCAGATCCAGAGAAACACATGGATTTCTACTTAGGAAAAAGCCAGTAACAGCTGGTAAAAACAACAACAACAAAAAAATCACATAAACACTAAAATTCATCATTACCTTGCTAGAACTAAAATTTTGTTCATGCTGTATACTGTTTTCTTAAAAAGTAAACCTACCAAGCTCAATTTGCTCTCTAAATGCAGTAATTTTAATTAAGAACTTAATGTAAAAATTTTAATACTCACATCAAGATCATCCTTGGCATTGTAGTAGACAACTTCATTGCTCTACAAGAAAGAAAAGAAGAGTGCTTTACTGAGTAGAATAAAACAGAATACTGGATCAAACACTATAAATATTTTAAGCATGTTTTAAACAATAAACTTCCCATAATATTCCTTTCTCAGTATATTCCACAGAAATCCATAAAGATCAGTCAATGTTTATAAGAACAGATTAAAACTGTATATCAGTGGTGTTAAAAAAGCACACCTTGCATTTGAGAAAAAAACCTCAGTATAGTACTGGAATCATGTGTCAAATGCATTATTGACATCATGGATAAACACACACCTATATTAAGAAAAAACAGGATAACTTCAGAAGCAGGTAATACAAGCACCGTACCAATATTCTGTTAAAAGTATGATTTAAAAAATACATACATAAATATATTTAAATCTCCAGTATTAAATGGATTCTTGAAAAATGTGTTATCTATGCAATATTGGTAGAAATTTCCTCATGAGATTTAGAAAGCAACTGGATCTAGATAGCAAAAAAAAAAAATCTGTTTATCTAAGGCACTGCAACTCTCATATTGAATCTGGATCTAGATAGCAAACAAATATGTTTATCAAGGCACTGCAACTCTCATATTGAATCTAAGAGGTGAAATGACATTGGATTTTCAGCAAGAATAAATATGAATGGGCAATTTTGCACATAAGTGTTGCAGAAATATACCATAAATATGAATTAGGGCTACAAATGGGGCTACAGAGGGACAATGGAAAAGGGAGGATGAATAAAATGATTGTCGAAAAACTTTAAATTCCTATTCTTGTGTCTGAGACCAGTGTGTGCACCACAAGAATAAAACACCTATGCTGGTTTCCCTTTTTCATCTAGACGTAGATGCAGTCCCTGTCTTTGGCAGTAATCTGAACACTCGGTAAGAATGTTTTTTCTCTACCTCTTAAATATCCACCAACACCAATATTCTAAAATTATATTAGAAGCAGACACAAAATATAGATTTTTTTTAAGAAAAGAAAACTTTGGGGAAACTTAGTAAATATATCTCAAAGTATATTTTAAAAATTGCTGGTTATTAATAGATGTCATGGAAAAAGTATTTAATAGTCATGGCATTAGAAAACAGCAACAATTGTCACTTGAGGGCAGGACTCCACAAAGCTTCAGTACATGACTGTACTTATAAATCTCTAAGAGAAAAATATGTTTTGCTTTGTTTCCCAATTTGTTTGATACAGAAGTCAGTCCCAGCCCTTTTTATTAGAAAAATACTCCATGAGACTCAAGATAAATAAAATATAGGTTTCTCTGAAGAACAAAGAAGATCTATATGAATATTAGAAAATATGATTCATAATACTGAATGAAACTGAAGGACTAGAATTTCATTAGAATCGCTTTTTTTTCCTTTTAAAAAATTAGTGCATTATATTTATACATGATATCTGAGTTGATTTTGACATAATTAGCATAAAATATAATTTACTCCAATTCAATCCCTAGTACACCCCTTACTCTCCACTCCTCCTACTCCCTGTTACCTTTCATCTATTCTACTGCTCTTCCTTCTTTTCATTTATAGGGTTTTTTTTTTTTAAATTAGTACTTTATAGATACACATGAAAATAATGTACTATTTAATTTGATTTTTTTTGGGTAAAGAATAAAGTAGCTAGAACTGGACACGGTGGCACCTGCCTATAATCCCAGCAACTCAAGAAGCTGAAGCAAGAGGATTGCAAGTTCCAGGATAGCCTCATAACTTAGTGAGGCCCTGTCTCAATGTAAAACCTAAAGGCTAAAGTTACAGCTCAGTGGTAAAGCACACCTGGGTTCAATCCTTAAAATCAAAAAATTTTAAAAAAGAGGAAGTACATAACTAGAGTATTTTAATATGCACAAAAATTCTAATTCCTGAAATATTTCTTATACCACTTATTTTGTAACAGGAGTCAAGAGTCAAAATACCAAATCAGAACTCATCACATACACAAACCAAGAGAATTATCTAAATCCACCTGGGACCCTAACCTAATTACTAGTTTATTGATCCCACTTGCAACTCTGTAATTTATACTTAGGAGGCAATTTTCAGTTTAGAATATAGATTCTAACAAAAGTTATACGACTGAATAAGTTTATCTTCATTTTATACTTTATTTTCTTCCAAATGCTTGCTTATATTTACAGAAGTAGAACATGAAGAAAACAAGGTGAAATAACAGTATATTTCAAGCAGTTCTCCAGCATCACCTTTTCAACAGATACAAATTCACTTATACACACATCACTATGCCAAGAAAGGCACATAAGATAAATGCATCTACTCTTACTTCCTAGGTTAAAAAAAAATGGCTATAGATCATTTACATAAGACAACCTGGGTTTGTCCTATGATTACACTTGGCTCACAGTGCTAGAACTAATAGATGAAACTGACAGGTCAGCTTTTCTTCTGTATATGAACATATGAAGAGTACTTATTAAACTGAAGATTAAGAGTTCCGCATACATAGGCTGTTGGAAGAGGATACAAGTGTGATAAAGAAATGCTATTATTGGGTTGGGCATGTGGCTTAGTAGTTGAGTACTTGCCTAGTATGTGTGATCCTGGGTTCAATCCCCACCATTACAAAAGAAAATAATAAACAAACAAATAGAAAAGAAAATGCTAGTATCCATTCCATCTCAGTATTTTCATTTGGTTAAGATCAATTGAAATTAAAATTAAAATTAATAAAATCTAACTTTGAGAATTTCTTAATTTTTTTTCCTTTTTAACCATACATTTTATACAAAACTCTGTTGCCTAATTTCTCTTTCAGAATCTGTATATTGCTAAAACTGTTGTCGAAAAGGTGTATTCCAAATTTTATTTAAAGTTCGCACAACACTTTCTGGATTTAGGATGACACAATTATACAAGTTGATTTTTTAAAGACAACTTAAAAATGCAAATAGCACAAATATATCTAAATATAATTTGGATGTATATATATACACATATATATACACTACATAAAATATGTATAATACTATTAATATATGTGCATCTATGTTTAAATTAGACATAAAATCATGCTATACGGTAAACTATCCATACTCCTTCATGTAGCTGGTATTTTATATCTCTGTTTTAAAATAGCTCTTTCTTAATACAATGTTCATTTCTCACATGGTCAAAACATAAATGCAAAAAGAATGAATGTGTTTTACAGAAAACATTAAAATGATAAAGCACTTAATCAACTGTGTGTGCTCAGGTTAAGAAGATGACAGACAGTGGATGCAACTAGATATGTCCAGTGTCTCATGACAAGGCTCCTTTTGGTTTAGTAACATTTTTGTTAACCTCACTATCATAAATATACCTTCACATCTTCAAGCTACAAACTTTTCTTATGCAGAATGTACATTATCCATTTATTACACATAACAGAAAAACATTAAGGATAAATTGACATAGGAAATCAGGATTTGAAGAAACTATAAACTGGCATTACTCAATCAATACAGTGCTCTTCCAGGGTAAAACGTCACTAAAATAAATGCAAACTTTCATAGAGCATTTGATTTTTCAGCCATTTAAAATATTTTTCCAGCCCCAGTTCATCGTATGTTCTTATAGAAAATTGTAAGGATTTATTTGGGATTTTGTTTATACTGTTTCAGAATTATTTGGCTCAGAAGTTATTAAAGTTTGAGAAAAATCATAATTGGGTGATTTTTTTATAAATAAAAATAATTTTTATTTATAGCCATCTTCTTTTTTTTAATAGCCATCTTCTCTACTACATGAAAATATATATTAAGATGTGCTGCAATGTTGAACTAAATCAGTCTCCAGTAGAGTAATTCAAATAGCTGAATTACCAAAATACATCCAGAGTCAATCGTTAAAGGAATGGGATAAAAAACAATTCTAGGAAGGGGAATTATACACTGAATCAACCAAATTCTATGATCTGATGTTTTTATAGAGATGAGCTTTTGGTTAAAATGAACTCTGTGCTAAAGAAAATAAGAGGAGAATTTTATAAATACAGTAAATACCTTAAGTGGGAAGAATTAAAGGAAAAGAGGCAAAGTCTCAGCTGAATTCCTTGTTTAATCATGTCCCCTTTCTTACATCCCACCTAGACTTTGTGCAGGAAGGTTTCTGTGTCACAGAATCAGCAGAGGGAGCCATATTCCATTCACACAAGAATTACACTGGTGACCTTCTCTGTGCTGTGTTCAAGAAACAATGATAAATAATATCTGCACCTAACCACAGGGACCAAGCTGTCACCCTTCAACTCATCTGTGGCGAGAAGATGATGCAACTAAGACAGTCATTCTGATCTGCTATATGTGAAAATTGCCTTATTATACTTGGATCACACTCCTACGTGAACTAAAATGCTCCAGTTTTCAAAATAAGTGAGAATTAAGTATTCCGGACACTTAAAACAGTCCCCCTCTGTTGATCAGTGAGATACAAAGAGAAAGAGAAACTTGCCTGTCCTTACTCAAAACTACCTCAATTCCTCCTCCAGAGAGTTCATGGGTATCCCAATATCACTGAATACTTTCATTAAAACTGTGGCACATAAGCTAACTGCCAGAGGCACAGGTTATAGAGTCTTATTTCTCTATTATCCTTCTGTCTAAATGATTTAATAAAAATTATTAAACATCATCTTAGAATGTAGTTCACATTCAAACGCAGAGGTTTTCAGCAAATTTCAGGGCATTATGCACAACATCATGGAATAAAGCCAGCAACCACCTCGAACTAGATTCTTGGATTAGTTAAACGTTTAGAGAGCTATTTTTCATAATTTAAGCTCCACCAGATGACAAGAACAAATTGTTTTGTTTCCAAATTTTAACCAAATAGTTTACTTATTTATTATTTCCTCAAAATGAATTGACCCAAATGGGTCCATGCTAATATAATACTTCTGCTGACTGAAATTTAAAACACCCCCTAGCAAGTTGAGAAAAAAAAAATATTTTAGACTCCAAATATCTATTTGGAGTCAAA